CAGCCAGTTCTCAGATATTAGATAACCCACCAAGATGTGCGAGTCATACCGCGGTGTTGTTCACAAACTCCGTACAGAGTGAATAGAAATAATACATACATTCCCGCCCGGCCAGAAAAAAAAAAGAAAGAAAAACAAAGGAGAGAGAAAGAGAGAGAGAGAGACCACATTTATCAGAAATTCAGGTATTATGACCACAAGGTAACACCGTCAAAGTTGAATCCTCAGCACAGCCATAACAAGAGTATCAGGGGACAAGTGGTTGCGTATCCTCTCCGGGATAACTGCACTGCACAATAATAATATCATCAGAGCGCACAAGTCTTTGGTCAGGAGAATCCTATGTTTCTCCATAGAAAATAGGCCAGGGGATGGAGAGATGTTTGTCTGCCACGAGCAATTCAAATGGCCATTGCATTGATAGAGAGAGCTGCGTATGTTTCTCATATTATTGATGACCGCGTCGATAAGCTTGAGTGGCCAGATTGGAGCTCGATGATTTGCATTCACGAGCTTAATTCATGAATTAAAGTTGAAGCTAGGCCGGTGACAGCTAATCAGCATGTGGAATCGATCGCGATTCAATAACCTTGGTAGCTTTCCAACGAGCAAACTCAATTGACTTAGTCACTTCGACGTATAGAGAGACCTCAGGCGCCACGGGTGCTGATCTGACATGCCGGCCTTCAGGAAAGAACGAGGAGGGCATTTAGACTGAAGTGCAACCACACGCGCCCCCCGGCCTTGGCGCGGCTTGGCTCGACCCTGAACCCACCACCAACCAACCAACCAATCGACCAAGCCAGTCGACGACAATTTCTGGTCGCGTGGGGCTGGTGCGACCAAGGGCGGACTCTCCGCCTCTCCTCCTCTCCTCCTCCTTTCCTCTCATTCTTCCTTCTCCTTTTCTCCTCGCTGTTCTTCGCATTCGCTTTTCCCCCACCATTCGCTTCCTTTTTGTGTGGACTCTTGTTTCTTGACGCTCCTTCGACAAGGCTTTAATTTCTCAATCGTTTATTTCTTTTATTTAGTGTGACCCTATTGTCACTCCTTCAAACCCATAAATATAGCGTTTCTCCCAATCACCATGCGCTCAATCATCTACCTCGCAATCAGCGCCTTTGCCGCCGTTGTTGCCGCGCAGGCAAATAATCCTTTCAATGTCCCACCTGGAGGCTACAGCCCCGTTGCTGGCCAGCCCTTGACTCTGTCCTGGAAACCCACCACTAAAGGACTTGTCACCCTGAAATTGCAGTTGGGCGACAATGTTACTCCCGACGATGGCATTGTCCTTGCATGTATGTGTTTTACTGTTATTATATCCCACCATCAATCTCGCATTTTCGCGCGCACCAAAACTAGACGTTCTTGGCTTTTATCTGGAAAACCCATCGAGCCTGATTAAAAAAGGAGAGAAGGGTGATTTCTCGCCATGTGGAAATAAATATATACATCTCAAGCGAGAGAGGAGGGAGACATGAATAAATGACAGTAGCGCGATCTAACAAACCATTTCCCTCTCCCTTCCAGCCAGTATCCCCAACGACGGCAGCTTCGTGGTTATTTTACCCACAAGCCTCGGCCCAGGAACTGACTACAACTTCCAAATCATCGACGATAGCGACCCAAGCAACTTCAACTTCAGCCCGAAATTCTCTATCAGCGGTACTACAGGCACTGCTACCGTGTTGACCCCGACCGCCACGCGTACCACTGCCTCCACCACCTCGACCGAGTCCACCAGCGCCACGACCACGCAGACGGAATCGAGCACCACCCTAACCACGTCCGCCTCGAGCACGACGGAGAGCACATCCTCCTCCACTCCCACTGCCACTCCCACTGCCACTTCCACCGGTGAAACCAATCCCGCTCCAAATCCAAACAGCGCCGTCTCTCTCACCCGTCCGGGCTTCATGCTGTCTGCCGTCCTGGGGCTGATGGCTTTCCTGTAAAAACTTTATATTGTGATTACGTTGTTTTAATTATTCTTTCCATTTGCAATTTGACGCTCGAAATTTAAATTTTAAACTTTATGTTCTATTATCTTTTGACGGGATTGTGTCGGTCGCTTCCAACCAGAAATTATGAACGCATTCCTCTCTTTTTAACATACGCCGTAAGCATGAAATAAATAATAAAAAGGATAAAGCATATTAACCATTGCATGTGTATACGTGTATATAGTATATATATATATATATATATACATTTTGAAAGGGACGTGTATTTTATTGATTGTCATTTCGTCAATAGATCGGCCCCCTATCTTCCTTTTTCATATGAAACTTTGCATTTGATATCATACCCCTGATCAATCATGTCGCTTTACCATATACATACCTGAGATCACAGAAGCAACATATCCCACGCAGAAGGAAGCATGAAGCATGGGCCGGAGTCAAACCCCTTGCTGCGGGGAGGTCTTAGAAGTGGTGATTCATTGAATCATTGGGTGATCAGGTTTTCCCAGCTTGCCCCAGGGTCCAGAGTTGAGTTGAGAGTTACGGAGGGAATCCGCCAAGAAAAATGGGATGGATTGTCTGCACACAGCTGCCGTACGCAGGAAATCTTACCTCTCTAAGCTTTCCGTGTCTCGGGGGGGAAAGAGAACTAAGAATGAATAATAATGAAAAAAAAAATAAAAATAAAAATAAAAAAATAAAAAAATAAAAAAAAAAAAGATACAGTGTGCTAATGTAGGCTTCGCGTGGTTTCACGTGTGAGGATGGTTGAAAATCCTGTTTGTTTTGGCTTTCTTTTGGCTTTTTATTTTATATATTATTTTTATTTTACCTTTTTTTGAGTGCATTGGATATCTCTGTAGCCTCATCTTTTTCATTCATATAATTATTCTCTATTAATAGTTATAAATTATATAGAATTCATCTATACAAGTCATATATAGCTGCTTATATATTTCATTATATTCATTTGAGGGATTAAATAGTGAGTTTTTAAGCTGGATAAGTGAGCGCAAGCGAGCGATTGCGGCTTGTGTTGATAAGGGGAAGGGGATATTGTGTTTCGGAAAAGTCCCACTTCTTTTCTCCTCATTGTCAATCAAACACCGCTGAAGAGCCCCAGAGTATCTACGTGTACACATAGTTAAGGTACGCGCGATATCCTCGATCTAAGCAGAGCGAGAATGATGAACTGGGAAAGGAAAGGCCATATATCTAGACTACTCCCAAACACAGTGGACGTACGCATGCAACACAAGATGCATCTAAAAATGGTAGCGACCATGAAACCAACCATAGCATCCACCCAGTCCCTCCATCTAGTCCCCGCCCCTCCCCTTCCCCTTCGCATCCCCCCTTTTCATCCCCCCGGCAGCCCTAAACACGGCCGCCCGCCTCGTACTCCTAGACTTCGGCTGCCCAGCCCGCGCCTTCACCCCACGACCCTTTGTCCTCACTTTAAACCCAGGCCCCTTATCCGGCCTGGCCCTGAAACCCTCAAAGACAAACGGCGCAGAACCTCCGCTAGTAGCCTCCTTATCCCTGCTCCTCCGCTCCCCACTCTCGTCAGTGGAGCGGCAGTGCTGCATCCTCCACGCCCCAGCCTTCCCCAACAACGCCGTCGCGCGGCCCTCAAAGCTGGCTTGCCGATCCCCTCCTACCCCGCTCCTCCGCTGCCCCAGCCGAGTCTTATTGGCATTCCTGCTGTCCGTTTGACTACCATTACTTCTTCCTTGATCCCCAACACTATCGTTACGAGTTTTCTTCACAACCCGTTTCGCACGCGTGACACGCAGCTTGCGCGGGAGCAACGGCGGGAATTTCTGCCCGCTCAATAACAGCGCCATCTCAACGGCATTCTCGTCGCGGAATTGGACGTAGGCGACTCCCTTCCCAATCCGCGTTGCCGGGTCGCGGATGACGCGGACGGATTCAACGGGGCCACCGCCCAGGTCTGGATATGGACCAGTATCCTTGCTGATTTTATTACTACTGGGATCCGCGGACTTGCCAGCAGCGGTGGGCTTGGACGGCTTCGCGATGCTGGCGCGCGTGTGCTCGTTGAAGGTGCGCCAGAGGCCCTCCTCCACGTCTGCGGGCGGGGCGTGCTTTTGCTTTCGCTTCTTCTCCTTCTGTTGCCCTGCGACTTGTTCGTCGGTGGGCGTTTCTTCGTCGACGAAGCCGAGGTTGCCGACGAAGACGCACCGCTTGTAGTCGATGGGGGCCGGGTGGGCGACGCTGTCGACACGCAGATGTCTGTCGAGGATGACACTGCCGTTCAGAGCCTTGGGGGCTCCTCGTGCGGCTGCAGTGGTGCTGTAGACTACGTACGCATTTGTGCTGCGGGTGGTGGAGTCCATGAGCTCGCGCTTGGCGTATGCTGCGCGTTTGGGCATTGATTGGGTGGAGAAGGCTGTGGAGCGGAAGCGGATTGATTCTATCTTATGTGGTGTCGCGGATTCTGGGAGGGAAGGGAAGAAAGAGCAGAGGTGTTTGAGGAGGGTTTTCTTTGCGGATTTGGATTTTATGGCTTCTGTGGAGACGTTGGAGAGGAAGATGGTGCGGGCGGATTTGTCGAGGAGGGCGGCATCGGGCTTGCTGGAGTTGGATTCGTGGACAATGGGAGGGTTGTCTATGCCATCTACATTGTCGGACGTTCCATCTTCACCCTCCTCGTTGTCACTTTCAGAGTCTGAAGAGTCGCTTTCCCTCCCGACGCTTTCCACAATTTTCTGCCGTTTCGCTTTCTCACTCCGTCGCTTCTCATCTTCCTTGGCTTCCTCCTTTGCTATACGCCGCATGTATGACTCCTCTATGTCCTCTGCGCCGCCTCGTTTTCGTTTCCGTCGTTTTTCTGGACTCAATGCTTCATCGCCGACATCCTCCATCATTTGATCACTGGTCTCCGACGAAGATCCCTCTCCCGCCTCTTCCTCATTAGATGAGGTTAATTCCATATCATCTTGCGATGTGCCTTGGCCCACTCCATTGGTCGGTCCCCCAGACTTTCCGCCATTTGCTGACGTCGCGATCAGCTTCGCATTAGTGAACTGAGGGGCTTTCACAGGTCCAGCCTAGAGTGGAAAATTTGCGCCAGGTTAGTTAAACCCTATGTTTTCAAAAACCACAGGCATTTAATCGTGTCAAACAGTAGATTTTTGGATAAAATAAAATTAAATTGATACACTTCGAAGGGAAAAAAAGGGCAATCAGAGAACTCACACTCTTCTCAAATAGCGAAGCAAGCATCGGATCAACAGCTACTGCACTCTCCACACCACTGGCCAAAAAGGGAAAGGATGGGATTGAACCATTGGCAGCTGGAGTACTGGCAGCATCTTCCTCCAGCGCAGACGCAGCAGCCGTGGGTTGGGATCTTTGTTTATTCCCCATCGTTCCTTTTACGGGGGATGGTAGAGTATGTGTGACGGGGATGAATGATCAAATGCCAGTACCGCTTGTTGCAATTTTGCCGGGCTTTGAACTTTTTTTCCTTGGAAAGGTTCGTCAACTAAGCAAAATGATTCAGATCATGTGATATCAAAGTTTGTTTCCCTGGAGGATCTCGACAAAAATCGTGGAGGATAATTTAATATATCACCCGGCAGACGCTAAAACTTGTGGGGTGGCTAATCTTCTATCATTGTAGCGGAAGATAGTTAATCTATATACGCCTGATCGTGTGCAGTGAGGGGCCCCCCAGGCAATATATGCAATATCCGTCACGCATGCACGACTACCACACCACCACACAAACACACCAATTTATGAACTGCGTATTCAATGCTAGGTTCTCAGTATGAGTAGAGGGTTCCTGAATAATACGTGGCGCACAAACCCAACTCAAAAGAGAATCATGCAATCCGGCTGTGATACGAGCAGAGTCCGACTAGCCGGTCCATGGGTGGAAGCACTCGAAAAACAAAGGCATTCATATATTTAGTATTCATTCTTTAGTTATCCACAACTTTTGCGAGAAGATAAAAACCGTTAAGGCGAATGCTGGATTATAAGAGGGAAGAAGGGGAAGAAAAGCTGTCATTCGCTTCGGCCCGGGGCCAGGGCACTGGAGTCTTCTGGCACGTGATCAGGGCTCTGGCAGAATGAGGCAGCTGGCGCTTGGCAAAGGCGGCGAGCTATACACCGGGCTGCCATTCCTGTCAGGGAATGTTTGCAGCATTTGCTTAAAAGAGGTCACTTGAAGCAAACCTGGAAGATCGCTCGTCGTTTGCAGTGTATTGAAACTTTGGTAATACAGTTTGATGATTGTGACAATTTCTGAACGTCCACCGCTCTTGCCTGAGGCCGAACTGCCACCGAGGGCGCGTAAATTACAGTTACCGATGCCGCGACGTGCTTTTTGGAAAGAAACAAATCATCCTCGATACGCCGCCAATACCAATACAGCAAGAGTTGCTTTCTCACACTTAGAGCCTCCTCGTGCCGCTGCTCCCTCTCCGCTCTCCCACACGGCCATATGCCATCGATTCACTATCTTCAGATCCTTCACGCTGGCCCTCAGACACCCATTCCCTCCAATCTAACTTGATCTTCGCTGTGCCCCCTGCTTAACCACCCCCCTCTGCTATTTGCTGTGCTCCGGCTTCTTGCCCGCTTCCAGCTCAACGCACCCTTGTCTATTGCGAACAGTTCTCTCATCTTCCCCCTCGCCCTAGCTTTTCTTCATCTACTCTTCACAACGTCGCAGAAGATCATCTGTTACCCTATTTTTTGCTTCTTTACGCTTTCTTGTGCCTCACTGGCTGTCGAGTCTTATTACCGTTGTCGACCGCTGCCCTGTGGTGCACCACCATCGCTGCGCTTCGAGCGCATTTACCGACTTGGTACGTCCAACCGGCCTCTGTTCGAAACAACGCCTTCATACAATGTGGATGGAAGCGAGAGATACCTGGAAGCTTTCTGGACCCGTCTGAATATGCCTGAGATGTTTGGGGCCCTATAGTTCTGACTGCTTCTTTTTGCCCTTGATGTTCGTCTCGAAACTGAGGTTGGGCCGCTGAAATTGATCATCAGTCAGAACCCCTTCTACAGCCAGATAGCTCTCCACAAATCTCCAAATTCCATCTGCAATATCCGTGGTCTTTTTAGAGGAGCTGTGTTCTATACAATCTCATTATTATGAAATCTCACTAACTCATTTTTTTCCTGCCCTGTTTCGCAGTTTCTGAAAAACCCTGTCACCACCTTCGAGCCCTAATCGGTTGCTGAAATCACCAATCCGACGCCCATAACTCCCTCTCCCTCCATCTTTCCGTTGGATCAACTTACATCGCCTTTTCAATATCTAGATGGACTCCGTTGAGCCAGCGGAGTCGATTACTCCTCAATCAGCGTTCGCCGCTAATGGCGGTGCCAATGGTCGCGACACCGAATATTCAATCGCTGACGATGCCCGTTCGAGTAGCCTGAGCGACCTTGATGATGCTCTAGATAACGACCATCTGGATATTGAATCCCCCAAACTTGAAAAGCTTGCGAGTGAAATCGACTCAGAAGCCGAGACGGAACGGATCGAAGAGTCTCCGAGCCACCCTCGAAACCGCACCAACATCGTATTGAATGCGGGTATATTCGAAACGAGCCCCAGCAAGCTAGCGCAATCAACAACGTATGATGAACTTAACGACGATGAGGACGACGAACCAGAAACTTCTCCCAGCAAACCACGAAGGAAAGCCAGTACCAATGGCGTACTGGCTACCGAAAATGCTGCTACCACTGATGGACGTGAACTTCTAAATGCTTCTCTCGAGACCATTAACAAGAAAAGGAAACGTCTTGACTTAGAAGGAGATGTAAGCCACGAATCAGGCGAAGAAGAGCCTCTACGGAAGCGTCGTGGCTCCGTTCCTGTCAGCGGAACAGCTTCCAAATCATTGCCAGACTTTCCTCCCACTCCCACAATCGCGGAGCCCTCCAAAAGACAGGTGAAACCTCCCCTGACGAGACCCCAG